CCCTCCCCTCCCCTCCCCTCCTGATTCCTCCATCCCTGGGTGGCAGAGGGGAGATTCTGCCCCACCCCACCCACAGTGCTGCAGTCGCGATAACCCCCGTCACGGGGCTGTATAGTGAGGCGTCTACATCCACTCTCTTTCTCTGGACTCCTGGTATATCCTAAGTGACCTATTTGATAACAATAGACATCTAAATATATTTTGTCTATGTAGATAGACACCGCTGAAGGGCCCGCTCACTTTAATATCTTGGAGCTGATTTTTTTTAATTGCATGTGGGTAATGCTATGCCTTTTAATTAGGGATGTAAAATCCCCTTTCATTAGTTAACCAGTTAATTGTAAATAAGTTTGCCTGTAGTTATTTGTAAATAAATGATAAAAAATACAAAGCTTTAAACAGGCTAATTTCACATCCTTGAGGATAATGAAATCATCCAAATATCCTGAGAGATTAATGTGAATCTCTTGTAATATTGCTCTCCCATTGCATCTTGAGCCCTTTAAAAATAGGGACATTGTGATCCCATGTTCCTAAATAAGAGGAAGGATGGTGTTGTGGTTGAGATACTGGGGGTTAAATTAAGTGCTTGATTTTCCCACACACTTGCCCTATGACCTTCAAAAAGTTCCCTCATCTCTCTTGTCCTGGTAGGGATGTTTCCCATCTTCATAATAGTGATGTGAGGATAAATTCATCTACATTTGTGAAGTACTCAGATACTACAGTAAGGAGGATCTCTCAATACAAAGGATGTGAAACAGGTGATGCTTACCAGTTCTGCTTAACTGGTAACCAGTGGGGGTTGAAGCAGTTCCCAGGCTTGCTGTGGGCAGGGGGCTGCTCTAGATGGGCAGGGAGACCATTGCGGATATGGGCTGCTCCCATCCAGAGCAGTCCCAGTCCGCAGCGGGCCCAGGCGCTTCACAGTCTTGTGCTGTTTTGGCAGTGGGCTGGGAGCTGGGAACTGGAGGCAGCCCCAGCACAGTGCCTGGGAGCAGGAGGCCGCCCAGCCTGAGGGCTGCTCCAGCTGGGCTGGAGTGGTCCCCGGCCCAGATCCTGCTTTTAGTCAGTTAACCGGTTAAACATTTGCCCCCTGCCCCTCCCAATTCATACACATACTCATTCACTCACTCACTCCCTGGCACCACTACTGGTAGTGAAGTGGGACTAGACTGGCTTCCAGCTGCTAGCTCTGGGCCACTGCCAATATGTCCTTGTGGCCCAGGAGAGGTGTGTGCATAGTCATCCTGTCTAGGATGGCTCAGGTGTAGCCCTCCTGGGCCCCACAGCAGCCGCCCCAACCATCCTATAGACAGGATGGTCCCCTGTACTCAGGTTAGCCCATGAGGCCCTTGGTGGGCTGGGGCCAGCTAAAGGGATTGGGGCCCTCACGCTCAGTGTGGCGGTGGGAGCTGCAGGAAAGCCGAGTTAGGCATCATCCTGCTCTGCTCTGCTGCTATCTCCCAAGCCAGCCTGAACTGGGGTTGGTTGGGGTGCTCAGCTTTCCACTGCTATGGTGAAGTGGAGCAATGGGACTGGCCTGGGAGATAGCAGTGGAGAAGAGCAGAGACTACGGTGTCACTTGGCTTTCCCACAGCTCTTGCCACTGCATTGAATACGAGGGGCCCGACTCCTGCTGCCATCCTTCAACAGGCCCTGTGGTAATTCCCAAAGTTGTGTCCCTTGAGGCAGGGCTTGAGGGAAGGGGTGAGGTGGGGTGGAAGAGGGAGGGGCAGAGCAGGGGCTAGACTGAGGGGAAAGGAACATACGCTGCCCCCAGAGCCGTAGGGACTTGCATGAGCCACAGATGCTCATGGGCAGTGAGTTTGAGACCCCTGCTTTACATAGTTTCTGCGTAAGATGGGGCAGGAAATATCTGCCATTTAAGAGACATATTTTTACTTAAGTATTGTTTATAAGTGATAACATTTAAAGTGCTCTATATTTTATAAACATTACACAAGATAAAGGCAAGGTTGTTGTGTCAGTTCAGTGGACAGATGATCTCTAAGGGTGTGCCTACACAGTAGGGCTTAACTCAATATAAGCTACACAAATTGAGCTACATCAGTTGTGTAGCTTATTTCAAAATTGGGAGCATCTACACAGCACTCATTTCAAAACAGAGCACTCTTCCTCTTACTTCCCTTACTCCCTTACAATGGTTACAGGAGTCAGAGAAGTCCTCCAGCTTGACAGTATTTCGACATGATTTCGAAATAACTGCCTGCTGTGTAGACGCAGACTAAGTTATTTTGAAATAATGCTAGTTATTTCGAAATAATGTTGCTGAATAGATGTACCCTAACTGGCACAGTGAATGCTAATTATTACTCTTGCTCATAGTCATGGAGAGCCCATAAAGACTTTAATTATTGTCTCATTCCTAAATGTGGTCCCTTAGGTGAGATTTGAGGGACACTGTTAGGGCAGTATGTAAGAAGCTTGCAACTACTGCTGCTAGTGCTATATCCTGGGAATAAATATAGGACTTCAATGTCTGGTGCAAATGAGCCATCTTTCTCAAACACTGAATGAATGTATTCTTCTTTATCTAAAAAAGTTAAAGGCAAATTACCATGTGGATACACTTTCATTTCCCCATTTGGTTTTACCTGATCTGTGTCAAGTACAAAACGAAAGAGGAAATCTTGAAACTATGCAACACTAGAAGTTTTTTTTCTTTAGGATAATGGCAGGAAAAGTGAAATGGGTAACCGACATAGAAAAGTCTGTGCTAATAAATAACTTTGAAAAGAGAGGCTGGATTCAGGTGGCAGAAAATGAAGACTGGAATTTTTACTGGTAAGTACATGTAAGAATTCTCATTTTTCAATTCAGGAATGAAATAATTAGCTATCTGGCTGTCAAAATGGGACCCACACCTTACTGAGATGAAATGTGAAATTCACGCCTCTCAAAGCTATTGTTTTATGTTTTTTGCAGACAAGCAGATATCTCTGAATAATATTAATATTTTTGAAGTTTCCTTCAAACCATAAATTAGATTTCCTTTCCTTTTATAGAAAAGGGCAGTTGAGATTCTGAAGAACATATTAGCTCCAGAGAGGTGCTGCTGTGGCATATGGCAGAGGCAGGCAAGATATGGCTTGTGGGCTGAATGTGGCCCACCAAGCCTTTAGATCCAACCCATGCCCACTCCTGCAGCAGGGAGCAGCCCCAATAAAAGCAGCTAGCTACTCCATGTTTCTCTCTGTGCTGCAGGGAGAGAGAGGCTTCAGCACATTGCTCCTGCCCCACAGCAAATTCTCTCAGTTCCTGTTGGCCGGAAACCAGCCAGTGGGAGCTGAAAGATTTTGCTGAGAGTGGGGGCAGCATGTGAAGCCTCTCCCAACCTCCCCCCTTCCGATAGTTCAAAGAGCCACAGGCATGGCTAGCTAGCAGTCTGGGACTGCTGTGGGGAAGCCTGCCTAAGAGTGCTGCTGGTTGGGAACTGCTTCGGTAAGCACCTCTCAGCCACAGACTGCCTCTGGCACCTCAGTCCCTCCCTCTCCCCAACTCCGTCCCAGACCCTGCACCCCTCGTAAACCCTCCCTCAGGCCAGAATCCTTCTCCTGCATCCATACCCCCCTCCTGGACCCCGAACCCCAACTCCCTGCCTCAGGTCACAGCCCCCTCCCTTCACCCAAACTCTCTGACCCCACACCCTCTCCTGCACCCCAGTTCCCTACCCCAAGCTCCCTTCCACACCCCACCTCTGTCCCAGAACCCACAGCCCCTCCATAGAAAAATGCGTCCCTTGCCCATTTACCAGAATCTTGGCGAGGCACTCCATCCAAAATTTATTGCCCATCCTTTGCATACGACCATATATTGGGTACTTCCAAGCCCTGTTGGGGACTGATTGGCCACGGATAGTGCCAGGATAGGAGGAGTAAAAGTTGACTCCTTCCTGTCCAAGCCCTGGCTTCAGACCTGTTGTGGAAATTAACAGTGCCTATAGGCCTGCAGTCTTGTTTGGTGAACTTTCATCTGGTTTCACTAACTAACATTAGTTCAGGGTCTGTTGAAGTTTCAGTAATAACTAAAGTATCCATTCTATAAAGAGAAATATTAAAGACAGAGCGAGGGCACAGATTGCCTTAACATAATAGTATTCCTTAATATTATGGTATGGTAAGTCCCCCTTTTTTTTTTTAAATTAAATCTTCCAAATTCAGTACATTAACCAAAGTGGAATTAGAAAATAAAGAAGACAACAACTTGATTGTCCTTTTGAATGCTGTTGGTTGGCAGGAAATCATCTGACATTTGTTTCACCTTTCAGGATGAGTGTACAAACTATCCGAAATGTTTTCAGTGTAGAAACTGGCTACCGCCTTTCTGATGACCAAATTGTCAATCATTTCCCGAACCACTATGAGCTGACCAGGAAGGACTTGATGGTGAAAAATATCAAGAGGTATAGGAAGGAATTAGAAAAAGAAGGGAGTCCACTTGCTGAGAGAGATGAGAATGGAAAATATATTTATTTAGGTATGTATTTCTAACTACCAGCATTATTCTTTTTATTAACACACACAGATTATGTATGGGATTATATGTGAGAAAATTGATGTTGTGATAATAGTAGGCTAAAACTTCAGATTAATGCATTTTAAACAAAAGCAGTACTGGATGTTGGAATCAGTCTAGGATTCTTGCCTAAGATAGATAAATTTGTAAGTCACAACTTGAGCATGATGTATTCACAAAATTTATGCTCAAAGGTGTCAGTCGTGGAAACTAAAATTGCATATTTTTTTTATCTGCAGAGTAGGTTTGGCATGGGCAATAAAAATGCAAGCATCACCAAATTATCTGTCAAAGTGCCTCAGTGCTGCTCTTTAAAGACTATTTTAAGGAATCCATAATTCAATATTCATATCTTTGCTAGTATCTTATCAATAGTACATTTATAGTAGTGGTTCAGTGATGTGACAGAGCTGAAATCAATAACTCAGTTCCTCTTTCTTTGTTCTCAAACGGCCATCAGATGGTAACAGATGTAGGATACCGCTTTGGTTGATGGATTTTTTTTGAACCAGTGTCTTGTTTAAAAGGCTTCATCACCTATTCATTTATCCTGTAACTTTCTCCCCCTGCACTGCTTCACTGCTAAGCCTCCATTCCAGTGTCTATGATATTGTATTTGGTTGATGATTAATTATGTCAGAGTTTGGGTTGGATCTGTGGTGCTTTTGTGGCTGTATCTAAAGTTTAATATGTTAAATCATTAGATGGAAGGTAATTCAGTTGGAGCTTTTTTTTTTTTTTTTTTTTAAGGACTGGGATCTGGTTGGTGTTTGGGGATGGTTTACCAGGAGAGCTATAGGGTTCATTTTGTGTGTTTGTGTGTGTGCGTGCGTGCGTGCGTGCACAAAATTGCAAAATAAAAACAAGAATCCCCCAGATTTTTAAAATAGGTTTTTGATGTTTGCATACCATTAAGTGTACTACATTAATTTAGTTAACCCCTGAAAACATGGCAGCCCAAAAACCTTCCCCGTGTCACTAGAGATTTTAGTTAACATTTAGTTTAGTAATTGTGTAGTTGCAAAAAAAATTACTGGTTACGTGGTTATAGCAAGTGTGCTCCTGGTTCCCATCCCTACTCCTGGGGGAGCCTCCTGGCATCCAGCATGAGGTGGCAAGGGAGCCAGTTTAAAAATCGGCTCCCCATGCAGACCGTCTCCCACCTGTCTCCCTGAGCTGTTGCCTCTGATACAGCTGCTCGGCATCCTGTCTGCTTCCCCCTGCCATGCTGCTGCCTCTGATATAAAGACAGCAGGACAGGGCAGGCAGCTCCACGTGAGCCAACATGTTCAGGGAGTCAGCTTGAAAGCCGGCTTCCCACATGTACCCATTCCCACCTGCCCCCCAGCCCCTGCACTGCTGCCACTTCAGACGACAATACACTAACTTCCCTACGTACCATCGAAGAGAGCAACAATAACAAAAATATTTCTATGGCAGCATGTGATGATTAGGGTTGCAGATGGCTGAAACAAAAATACCGAACACTCCCCCCCTCCCCAAAAAATAAACCACTGGGAAAAAAATTTGTTGCAGCAAAAAGGGGGGGGAGGAGACCAAAGTTGATGGGGGGGGGAACCTGGATCACTGCTAGGGGTTACCAGGTAGTCATTTTTTAAAAATATCAAATACCCTGACACGCTTCATTGTTCTGGGTGATGAGCTACTTTGCATATTTAAAGAGACAGGACCAGACCCAGGTTGCCAGGAATGGGGTGGGGGTCACAGCCTTGGATTTGCCCTTGCAGCAAAAGCAAAGTCACAATACGATGCAATTTGTCCACTGCCTGCTCTGCTGGCCCTGTCCATATTGGGGGCTCGCAGCTGCCCAGGCCTGGCGGGTGGAGCTTTGGGTAGGACTTCCTCCCCATATGGGTGGAGAGGAAGGGTGGGCGGGAAGCAGAACTGGCAGGGTTGGGAGGTGCAGTGTCGCTGGGGTGGGGAGATCAGTAAGAGGAACGGGCTGGCAGGAAGCAGAGCTGGGGGAAGGGATGCAGAGGGGCTGGCTGGGGAAAATCAGGAGGGGAAGTGGCGGAGAACCAGCTGGCCGGGAGCGGGGGGGGGGAGCAAATTGGCTGGCAGGGAGCAGGACTGACCTGGGCACTTGCTGCCTGTCCCGCGCAGGCTCCCGGCGATGCACGAGCGAGGAGGAGGCTTCCCCTCCTCCTCACACCCAACCGATGAGGGCTCCCGGTGGCAATCGTGGCCCCGCCTCCTAGCTGGGACTCAAAGCCACTCCCCTTGCCCACGCCAGGCTTCCATCCGGTGCGCAGCCAGAAAAATCAGAAAATACTAGACATTGCACGTGTCTGGTATTTTCTGATTTTTTTAGCGGACAAAGCGCGCAAATACCGGACTGTCCAGTACAATACCGAACACCTGGCAACCCTAGATATAGTTACATTCTTGCATGTAAAATAGGGAGTAAAAATTTTCATGGTTAACTCAACAAGCAAGAACAACACAAATAACTTTTAGTATTTTAAATAGCATATTGAATTTTCAAACCTCTTCTCAAACATTGCCTTGAAAGTTAGTGGATAAATCTTGTACACAGAGAAAGAGGCTGTAATTTGCTCAGTGCTTCAAAGGTAGTTAATAGTTGGGATTAACACTTGCGTGTTTCTGTTCGCTGGTCCTAAAATCAGAGTACTGAACCATATGCCCCTCTTGTATATCAATAGTCACATGTACAGATCAAAACAAATCTAATTTGCAGACACATGTTCTAAGCTTCTAAACTGGTGCTGATAACAAAGCTAACATTATTTTAAATAGAAATACTTTGTGTAGTCTCTTTTTAAATGTTGCTCTGAATCACTGTCAGAGAGCGCCATTATTTCCCTTTTATTGAGATCAAGAATTTTCTCACTTTTTAGTCATAACTAGACCCTTCAGTTCTAGGAGTGTGGTCCTATTGGATTTTGGGAAGTGGGCAGGTGTTAGCTTATCCACATCTAAAGGACCCTCACCCCTCCCAGCTTACAAGGAGGATCTAAAGAGCCCTAGACACCAACTGATTCAAGGGAAAAAGAAAAACAGGGACGGGTGTGAGGGTTAAAGGGCTAAAACAAGAGAACCGGATAGGGAAACCTAGCAGAGAACACTGGACAGCGCCCACTGCTCCTCAAAGGTCTTCCAGGAGTGTGGTTGAAGGCAGATATATCAGTAATAGAATAATTAAAGCCTTTCTCCTGTGAAGTGAAAGTCCTTAGCTCAGGTTAATTATGGGCACCTGAATCTAAGGAAGTATTTACCCCTTCATATACAGGCAGTCCCCGACTTAAGTCAGATCCGCACTTAGGAACGGGGCTTTTCTCGCCCCAGAGCTCACGGGCGGCGGGTCGCCACCCGTGTCCTCCGGGGCGAGAAAAGCTTCTCCCTGTCTCCCTGGTCTGCTGGGGGGGGTCCAGCAAAGCCGCTGGACTCCCCCAGCAGACCAGGGACACCCGAGCAAAGCCGCCACCTGGGCGGCTTTGCTCGGGTCTCCCTGGTCTTCTGGGGGGAGGGGGCGCAGCTAGTGCGCCCCCCCCCCCCCCAAGCAGTCCAGGCTTTTGTTGCGGGACGCCTTGGGTAGAGCAGCTGGGGTGCTGCCGGGTTGGTCCTGTGGGAATCTACCCAGCAGCGCCCCAGCTGTTCTGTCCCAGGCTCCAGATTCAGCAGCTGTTGAAACTGATCAGGCTGATTCCAGGAAGCTGGGGGCAGAGCAACTCTGCCTCGGCTTCCTGTAGTCAGCCCCTGGTCAGTTTCAGTGGCAGCAGCTGAATCTGGAGCCAGTTCCGACTTACGTACAAATTCAACTTAAGAACAAACCTATAGTCCCTATCTTGTATGTAACCCGGGGACTGCCTGTATCACATAAATGAGGGTAACCCAATTAAATTAATGGGCAGCAGGTATTAAAAAAAAAAAAAAGGATGTACTTCACACAACACAGTAAATCTGTGAAACTTGTTGCTAGAGAACATTGTAAAGGCCAAAATTATAACTGGGTTAAAATAAAAATTAGATAAGTCCACAGAGGTTAGGTCCATCAATAGCTATTGGCCAATATGTTCAGGAATGCAACCCCATGCTCTTCGTGTCTTTAAATTTTTGACTGCCAGAATCCTGGAATGGATTATACTGGACTGATCATTCATAGTTATTGCTGTTCTGTTCTAGAAAATCAAGATACTGGGCTAGATGGACTTTTGGTCTTCCACAACACGGCCGTTCTTATGTTATGGTCTTATGTTCTCTCATATCGGAAGGGATAAATCTGATAAGGGGGGACAGTAATCAATCTGTGCTGAACAATACAAAGACATTGTATCCTGGCTATATCTAGTGTTCTAAATCTTACTTTTTGTTTACCTATTTAGATTTTGTTCCTGTCACCTTTATGCTTCCTGCCGATTACAACTTGTTTGTGGAAGAATTCAGAAAAAATCCATCTAGCACCTGGATTATGAAACCTTGTGGGAAAGCTCAAGGAAAGGGGATATTTCTCATCAATAAACTCTCTCAAATTAAAAAGTGGTCTCGAGACAGTAAAACATCTTCGTAAGTTTAACCTCCTTCTCTCCAGTTTTTCTGTATTTCGTAATTTTATATGTAGGACTGTCAAGTGATTTAAAAAATGATCGTGATTAATCATGTGATTAATAATGCTGTTAAATAATAATATACCATTCATTTAAACATTTTTGGATGTTTCTTACATTTTAAAATATATTGATTTCTATTACAACACAAAATACAAAATGTACATGCTCACTTTATGCTTAGTTTTTATTGCAAATATTTGCACTGTAAAAAACAAAGAAATAGTATTTTTAATTCCCCCATTACAAGTACTGTAGTGCAATCTGAAAGTTGAACTTATAAAGGTGGAGTTAAGTTTTAAAAAAAAAAAAAGCCCAGCGCTGCATTTGAAAATAAAACCGTATATAACACCTCCTACCCCCGACATTGCATTTGAAAATAAAACAGTGTAAAACTTAAGTTCCTTCATGTCAATAAAGGAACTTCTTAGTCCTACTTCTTGTTCAGCTAGTTGCTCAGATAAACAAGTTTGTTTATGTTTGCAGGAGATAATGCTGCCCGCTTCTTGTTTACATGTCACTTGTAAGGGAGAATACATATTCACATGGCACTGTCCTAGCCAGTGTTGCAAGATATTTATATGCCAGATGCACAAAAGATCCATATGCTCCTTCATGCTTCAACTACCATTCCAGAGGACTTATGTCCATGCTGATGATGGGTTCTGCTCAGTAACTATCCAAACATTGTGGACCAGAAGCAAATACATGTTTATCATTTGAGTCAGATGCCACTAGCAGATGGTTTTATATTTTGGTGGTTTGGGTTCTGTAGTTTCTGCACTGGAGTCTTGCTCTTTTAAGACTTCTGAAAGCATGCTTCACATCATGTGCCTTTTGGATTTTGGAGTGCACTTAAGATTCTTAAACCTGGGGGTCAGTGCTGAATCTATCTTTACAAATCTCACATTGGTACCTTCTTTGCATTTTGTCAGAGCTATAGTGAAAGAATTCTTAAAATGAACAACAAGTACTGATTCATCATGTAAGGCTGCTCTAACAAGAAATATATGGCAGAATGCAGGTAGAAAACAACAGAAGGCGCACAGTTCTACCCCAGATGTTCAGTAACAAATTTAATTAACACATTTTTTTTAATGAGCATCATTATGTCCTGTGGAATGCAGGCCAAAGCATGAAGGGTCATACAAATGTTTAGCATATCTGGCATGTTAATACCTTACAGTGCTGGCTTCAAAAGGTGACATTGTAAATAAGAAGCAGGCAGCATTCTCTCCTATAAATATAAACAAACTTGTTTGTTTTAGTAGGACTGAGTGGACTGGTAGGTTCTACAATTTTAATCTGTTTTGGTTTTGAGTGCAGTTATGTAACCAAAAACCCCCCCCCCTACATTTGTAAGTTGCGCTTTTAAGATAAAAAGAGTACACTACCATACATGTGAGGCAAATTGAAAAATACTGTTTCCTTTTTTTACAATGTGAACATTTTTTATTAAAAATATCAAGGCATTACTGTACACTTTGTATTCTGTGTTGTAATTGAAGTCAATATATTTGAAAATGTAGAAAAATCCAGAAATATTTATTAAATTTTAATTGGGATTCTATTGTTTAATAGTATAATTGTGATTAATTTTTTGGGTGAATGGCAGTTAATCAGCAGCCCTAATTCTTTCATGCTTGCTAAAGGAGCATTCTTTCAACTCGCTAATGAATAATTCTTTCTGTACACCAGATCATTTAGCATTACTTCATTATAGTTGCTATTTCTTATTTAATGTCTTCCTGCTTCAAACAGCGTTTAGTGCCAGTTATTGCATTTGGTGCCATGTGGCACAACCACTAATTCAGTGAGCTACAAATATATAAATACACTTTCTGTGAGGAGGATGGGGGGGGGAGTGTTTGTATACCTAGCTATGTGAAGAATAAATTTGCATGGGCAGACTGGAATAATGTTGAATTATGAGTTAGAGGAAAGCTTTCATTTCTAGTCAGTGACTTCATTTTCAGCCTGAGGAAGGTTGTTTTACAGTGCACAACCCCATCCTCAGCTGAACCCCGAATGCGTGGCCCTCAGCTGCTGGAACTGATGCCAGCTGTTCGCAGCGGCTCTGGGGCCGAAGCTGGCTGCTGTTCACTGGCTCAGTGGGCTGGGGTGTACCCTAGCTCCATCCCCCTGAGCCACTGCACAGCAGCCAACTTCAGCTCTGGCAGCCACCATGTGGTGGGCAGCTGCCACAGCTGAAGCCAACTGTTCACAGCAGCCTTGGGGGCCAGGGCTGGAAAAGTCAAATGTGCAAGAAGATGTAGCAGCAGAAATCTCATTAAATAAAGTGTGTGAGTACAATATTTAATTTATGCTATTAATCATTTCAATTATCAATAATATTACATTGTATATTTTCTGTCATGCAAATGGGCATTCTTATAGGGCTCTTTGTTGACCATGTGTTCTGAATTTTGATGTAGTTTGGCTCTTTGGTGTGAAAAGGTTGCAGACCCTTGCTGTATGGGGTGGTGCTAAAATTTTAGGTGGGTTAAAAGCTTTTAGGCTGCTTTTGAATACTGGAACAAAAGGCCTACCTCCTGACATTTGCATGATTACATTTGAAGGAAAGTTTACATAGGTGTTAATGGCTAAGATAAGAGAGGATTCTTTTAACATAATTTTTTTTAGTGTTGCAGATTATCTGCAGACTCTGATCCTAATAATTTTTGCAAATTAATTTTCATAATGAATATGCAAGTAAAATGTTACCAGTTCTCCAAAAGTTTGTGAATGGGTTTGCTGGTCCGCGATATAAAAAAGATTGGGAACCACTGATTTTGACTACTTACCAACATAATTGCAAAGGGGCCCAATCAGTGACGCACTCAAGTCTGTATTTAAGAGCTTTGCTAAATAAAATAGTTTGAGTTGGAGCCTAAATGTTCTTCTTATAACAGTGAAATGTAAAAAAAGCTTAAATGGACAGCTTATCCCACTCATTTGTTTTATCTGTGCTTTTGTACATATTGAAACCTAGTGCCCTGCACACATTCATCAGAATGATATTAAAATTTAATGAAAGTGTGATATAGGATTTTAGTAAAATTAGAACTTCATTACTTTTTGAGAGATTTCTTTTAATGAAGGGAAAACATTAACATTTAATCAACATATTCTGAAACATAAAATATTTACTTTTTCTAGGTTTGTATCTCAATCTTCTAAAGAAGCATATGTGATTTCTCTCTATATCAACAACCCATTACTGATTGGTGGGAAGAAATTTGACCTGCGTTTGTATGTTTTAGTGTCTACATATCGTCCGCTGAGGTGTTACATGTAAGATCATACTGATTTCTAGCTCTTAAAAACAAAAAAAGTGAAGATGTACTCAGCCAAAAGATTCTGTGCTCAGTGTACTGAAAAATTTCTCAAGCATGAAGTATTTTAGGATGCTGTTTTCCTCTATTCTAGTTCTATTTAACAAATTAAATACCTTTTTTTGTTTAAGGTATAAGCTTGGATTTTGCCGGTTTTGCACAGTAAAATATACACCCAGTACAAGTGAATTAGATAATATGTTTGTACATCTTACAAATGTTGCCATTCAGAAACATGGGGTAAGTGAGCTTTAAAAATGCTAATTAAGTAGTAAACTGGATTATTTTAAATGGCATATAAATGGAATATAAGTGTTTGTGCATTTTGTTCTGTTCTTCACCCTCCTCCTCATTAAGTCCCTTGAGCTAAATATTTGTTCTGTATTTTATTTGTAAAACAAAATTGATTTATGTTACTTTAAAAGCACATGAGATAATAGATGGAACATAATGCAGCGATATCGTGGATATTTTCAGTTTAATTCTGGCTTTAGTGGCTATAAGCAGGAGTAAATTTTGAAAGACTCACCAATTAATAATTTTTTCTAGTACTTGAATATTCCTTGTTATCTGAGAACTTAGCTCCCAAAAATATTCCAGCCAGCTAACTAATAAGGTGGAACATAAAGAGAATTAGTCTTGGAAGTAACTGGGTCCAAAGTTATTTAGAACTTTATACATAATTGACATCCTGCATTGCTTTGATATCCGGCAGCGGAGATGGATGCCTCGTGGGCTGGGGTCTGTTCTAGCGGGACTGGAGCGGTCATCCTGCTTTCAATTAGTTAACCATTTATACCATGGGCATTAACCATGATTTTACATCCCTAGTGTCGCTGAGTGAATACGGTTGGGAAAAAGACTAATTACTCACACTAGAAATGACTGGTCATATTTCATGTATTTCATAGATTTTTTTAAACTTCAGTGCTACATTTTTTTAAAGTTTAATTTAACCATGGTTTAGCCATGGTTAAATGAACCACTTTTCTATTTCTCCTCTTCAGTGAAACAACCCCTTATGTAATCCTTTCCTTTTAGTCTTGAATATATGATTGCCCAGTCATTCCAATCCCAAGCTACATTTCCTGTGTCCTCTTTATATTGTTAGCTATCAAAATGCAGCTTCTGTTTGATTGTTGTACTTGTGTAATTGTAGGTACCATAAGACAAGTTTTAACACTTGTTTTTGTGATTTGCTATGTAATTGGATTTAAGTGATTTAAAATGTGTTCTGTGTTCCATAATAGACAATGCCAAGTAAAAATTGGGATCTTAGCAGGGGTGTGAAAGTCACTTACATTTCTTACAGGTAGGCTACGTCTACACTGGCATGAATTTCCGGAACTGCTTAAAATGGAATAGTATTCCGTTTTAAGTTTTTCCGGAAAAGGAGCGTCTACATTGGCAGGCTCCTTTTCCGGAAAAGCCCTTTTCCGGAAAAGCGTCCGTGGCCAATGTAGACGCGCTTTTCTGGAAAAGAGCCCCGAGAGTCATTTTCGCGATCGGGGCTTTTTTCCAGAAAAGACTACTGGGCTGTCTATACTGGCCCTTTTCCGGAACAGTGTTCTGGAATAAGGACTTATGCCCGAGCGGGAGCAGAATAGTTTTTCCGGAATAGCGGCTGATTTTGTACAGTACAGCATCATTGCTTTTCCGGAAATTCAAGGGCCAGTGTAGACAGCTCGCAGCTTATTCCAGAAAAGCGGCTGATTTTCCGGAATAAGTGGCCCAGTGTAGACACAGCCGTACTGTATTATCACAACCTATCCCTGCTTGAGAGGGTGCCTCAGGGTAGGGGAGATGTTGTGATACCGCTGTACCTTAAGAAATTTAAGAGCGGGATGGAGCATGGGGGGCTCAGAGCAGAGGATTGAGGTATAGGGGGTGCCAGAGTCGGGGATGGGGGCGTGAGAGGTGCAGGAGTCAAGTTTGGCATGTATGAGGGACTCGGGGTAGAAAGTTGGGCTGGGGTGTGTGTGCAGGAGGCAGGACAGAGGGCTTGGGGTAGGGGTGAGAGTGTATGGCAGGGGCCTTGGGGCTTGCCAGGGTTGGGCCGCTGCAGCTGGGCAGCCACAGCCGGATAGGGGCCAAGCCAGTATCGTCATGGCCAATTCCTCTTCCCTTCCTACCCTCATCGTGGCAGGACTAGGCTGCTGCAGCCAGATGGGGGCCACCGCCAGCCCCTTCTGTGGCAAATCGGGGCCAGAGCATGTGGCCTGCCCCGGGATTGGGACCAGGGCTGGGCTGTTGAGGCCAAACAGAGACCAATTTGGCCCTCCCCACTCTGGGTACCGTCTTGCCAGAGCTCAGCTGGTGCTTGCCAAGCAGCGCGCCAGGCACATCCCCTTATTTTGACTTCTGAGCCTTACAGATCCTGCAAAATGTCATACAGCCAAAATAGTTTTAAAAAATTGTGGTTAAAAACAAATGTAAGTTTATATGGACAAGAATGCAAGGGCTGATGAATTGCAAACTCTGAAACTGAATTAACTCCTTAATTCTGTAGGACGACTACAATCATATCCACGGAGGCAAATGGACAGTGAGTAACTTGCGCTTGTATCTAGAGAGTACACGTGGAAAGGAAGTCACCAGCAAACTGTTTGATGAAATTCATTGGATAATTGTGCAGTCGCTGAAGGCCGTTGCAGTGAGTAGTGCTAATAGAATATTGCCAGTGCCATCATCATAATTGCGAGCTTTCAGTAGTCATGAAATTTTACAGTAAAGAAAAAAACTAAAGCAATTTGTTTCCCATCAGGAGATTGTTGCTTTGAATTCTCATGCTATTTTGTTGTTGTTTCATTGCCTTTAAAAACTCTGTTACTTCTCAGTGTCCCTGTAAAGCCTAGAGCCCTTCGAGAAACCTGACTGGGTGGGCAAACTGTGTGTATATTAAATGAATAAATTAATATATGAGGTGCTGAAATCATCACAAACACTTACTCTCATTTAAAGTCAATTAATATTGCCATTATGTATTGCCCAAACAACTCTCCAGACCTGTGTTGTTTCAGTAGTAATGGAGGAAATAACCTGGGAAGACAATTTGCTAAACAAAATGCAAAAGTGTTAGGATTCTTTCTTCCATTTGTTTAGAGAATTTGTGTAACTTACTTTCAGCTCTCTGATATGTGAGTTATATAGTTATCCCAAATTCATGCCAAAAAACTATGGCACCATCAAGTATCTCCTTTCCTCCTGAATAGCTTGACAGAACTATATAGTATATGGGTAACTGTAGGCATTTACAGATAGTAGTTTCCCAAAGTGCCAAATTAGATGCAAAAAGAAAAGGCAGCTCATCCCAATTGTAAAAGAGAGAAGAGAAACAATGTGAAAAGCAGAAGGAAAATAAACAATGTACAGAGGAGGAAGTGTTGTGATAGCTTCAGTGCCCCGTTCTGTTTCCTATACGTAATGAGAGACATGCTTTTCCTTCCTTCCTCATGTCCTGCAAGATAGAAAACCTTTCAATATTAATTTTTGGAACCAATCTCCACTAACTTTCCAAAGGGTCCTTTAAATTGGTGGTTCTCAACTTCTCTAGACTATTGTACCCCTTTCAGGTGTCTGGTTTGTCTTGTGTATCCCAAAGTTTCATCTCACTTAAAAAGAACTTGCTTAGAAAATCAGATGCAAAAGTGTCACTGTACACTGTTACTGGAAAATTTCTTACTTGATAATTATATGGTAAAAATGAGAGAGTAAATAAATTGGAATATAACTATTGTATTTCTATTTCAGTGTGTAATACATAGAGCAGTATAAATAAATCATTGTATGAAATTTTAGTTTGTACTGACTTTGCTTGTGCTTTTTATGTAGCCTATTGTAAAACTAGGCAAATATCTAGATGAGTTGATGCACCCCCTGGAAGACCTCTGCATACCCCAGGGGTGTGTGTACTTATTGTTGAGAACCACTGCTTTAAATGATCTGGTAAGTGTTGTACAGGAGAGGTGCCCTGATATTCGTTCTGAGCTGATGCTGGACAATGAGGCTACAACTACACTGCAGCACTATTTCGGGATACCAGAGGTAGCCTGAAATAGCTATTCTGCGTCTTTTGAGCACGCCCATTATTTCGAAATATAACGGGCTCACTATTCCGATGTCCCTGTAAACCTCATTCCATGAGGAGTAAGGGACATTTCAAATTTGACTCGAAATATGCTATGCAATTTGTGTAGCTCAAATTGTGTAACTTATTTCGAGCTACGAGTGCAGTGCAGCTGCAGCCTGAGTGATTCTCTTGAGAATTTTCGTCCCAGTCCCTTAGTTTTCATAACCCCAGTGGATTTGAGCTAAATATAATGATGTAGTAATAAAGTATTTTAAATACAAGAAGCTAGTCAATAATTGGGATAATAAACAAGTGTCTTCAAATAAGTCACATTTAATTTGATGGTGAAAGGTAAATTTGTACTTTTATATCTAAAAATATGAGTACACTTGAACCTCTTTAATCTGGCAACCTTGGGAAGTAGGCTATGCCAGATTATGAAATTTTCCAGACCATGGATATTCACCAGAATGAAGATTAATCAAAGTCTATTACAAAAGCTTTTGTGTATAGTAGAGTACTGTACATGTATAACATGTAAGGTAAATCCTTAATGCACTGTATTTCAGTTGTTATTGAGGGGTGAAGCTGTGGGGTCTGGAAGGTAGTTATGGTGTAGGGGTGGGATCTGTGAGGGCTATGAAGGAGGCCCGAACCACAGGTGTTCCTGGATCATGGACACCCAGATTAAGGAGGTTCAAGTGTATTTTTAATTTCACCTATGGCATGAAAGACTTAACATTCCTGTTTTCATACTCTCCACATGCTGTAGGATGCACAGGTGAAATTAAATGGAAACTAAGTAGTCAAATATGTTCTGTTAATACACTGATTAGTATGATAATACTTACACATTTTATATATATATATATATATATAGTGACAGACCAAGAGTAGCTGGCTGCCGCACATTGATGGAGGGAAGACATTCTGGGACTTGGGTGAACCACTTTCTTTTCCCTGAGTAAAGGAAAGCCTATAACCTAACTGCAGCATAATCAGGCAGGCACCTGCGGTCAGTTAGAGCTTGCTAGAAGCTACAGATTGATTAGACACTTGCAGACAATTAAGGCCTCTGGTGCTAATCAGACAAGGAAGGGGGGAAAGAAAAGGGTGAAGGACAGGAAGTGCTGTGTGGGTGTGAGCCAAGGACAGTCGAACAGGTACCAAACGAAAGGTACTAGGATGGATTATTTGAGGAACTGGCCCAGGGAAAAACTGTCAGATTGTGAGTGGTAGTATCCCTGCCTGTTGCTGCTGCCTTAGGGTCCCTGGGTCGGAACCTGGAGTAGCAGGTGGGCCTGGGTTTCCCCACAACATCTCAGTCTCTGTCTTGAGAAGGGAGAGCTGGACTCCAGAGGGAATTTTATCTCAAACTTATGAACTAGCTTGTGATCAGTGTGGCTCAGTAGGCTGTGGCTCCTGCCTCTAGTAGAGAGAAAGAGGCTGTGTGGAGGGCCATGGCAAGCCTGTGAGGCTAATGTTATCTGCCAGTAGCGTGAGACTCATGGGGAATAGATGGAGCTTTGCCACAGAAAAACGAGAGAGAGAGCGAGAGAGAGAGATTGTATTGAGAGTCAGAGCAGAAAACTTGCACAAACAAAACTGCCATAAACAATTGTTATATTTGTACATGTTACCTAGAGAAATATAATAATTTATAATCTTTCAAGTTACTTAGTCAATTAATATATATACATTTCTTCTCAACTTGTTTCAGCCTGTAATGAACAATGATAAACACTGCTTTGAGTGCTATGGATATGATATTATTATTGATGACAAGCTTAAACCATGGCTTATTGAGGTAAAGCATTCATGTTTTTGTAAACAGCTCTCCTCACTGTTTCATTTCACAGTGTATATATTTGCTCTTTGAAGCTTGATTTTGAGTTTTCCCTTTTCTGTATGAAAGTGGCTTGGGAAGGGTCTTGGAACAGGCAACAAAATGGGTTGTGGGAGTTGCAGGGTATCAGATTTCAGGTGAAACCTGTGTTTTGGTCTGGTGAGCAAAAATCAAATGCAGGTGCATTTGGACTCAAGGAACAGTCTGAATGCCAGCATCCCTACCTTAGTGCTCCAGTAGCTGGAGGACTGGCACTGACTTAGTGCAGCGTAAATCTAACCTTTGCTTAAGCTCAGGAATTGTGCATAACACAGCTGAAACAGTAAGAAAGCTAGAAAATAAGGGATCAACATATTAGAAGAATAAGCTTGAAGTAGTTCAGGATTGTATACATTTATTGTGTGATTCTACAAACTTCTCTGGTATGTTGACTCCTATCCAAACTCCAAATCTAATTCCCTACATTTTATTTTTGTATATATGGGTTCATTATTCTGATGTGAATTTATAGTGGTAATCATAAAACATGACCAGATTTATGTAAGATGCATGTAAATTTGGATCTGAATGAAGTAGAGGATCCTTAATAATGCAGTACAATTTAGAGGCTTGTGGTGAGACTTCTTACCTATGTTGCCAGCTGAATACTTGCCGGTCCTTACAGGGTGAGGGGGGCTCCTGAATCTGCGTGTCATACCCATACTTCCTCCCAAAGCTCACAGCCTTTCCTACGCTCCTGCCCCAGTCCAAAGCCAGTATCCAGACACCCTCCCAGCGCCTGAACACCACACACTCTCCTACACCATAACCTCCTGCCCCAGCCCAGAGCCTGCACCCACATCCCCTTCCATACCCAAACTCCCTCCCAGAGCCCACACCTCCTTTCCATTCTATCCCCTGCTCCAGCCTGGAAAAGTGAGTGAGGATGGAGGAATGGAGTGAGGGAGGGGCTTCAGAGAAGAAGCAGGAAAGGGGAGTGGCCTAATAAAAGGGACAGGGCAAGTGTCTTTGGGTTTGCATGATTAGACAATTGGCAACCCTACCAGGTGGATATGTGGAAACCCTGTCTGTGCCAGAAAATCACAGGCTGCAGCATAGCCTGTAGCTCACTGGGCACCAACCACTGCAGGTGCAGTACTGCCTAAATGTTGGGGGGGAGGGGGCCATTGACTGTTCTTCCCCAGGGCCCGAAATTACTCTCCGCAGATCTGGCCACACAAGTCCATGTGTAACTACTGTTAGGAAGGAGCAAAGCCTCCTCTTTATTTTGTGTGAACTAAAGGTATGAATCAAGCAGCATCTGGGGATTAGCATAGATGAACCTGCTTCCAACAAAAATAAACTCTTAGACTCCGAAGAGAATTAATGATTCTTAAAAAATAAAATCTGAAGGAAACACACAGATTCCTTGCAATGGTTTTGTTCAAAGAAAAGGCAAAATGTTGAAATATTGATTAGTTTATAGGATAACAGTCATTGTCCTTGTACATTTGTCTGTAGGACCATATCTCTCACACACAGAAGTTGTTTAAAATGAAATGTCTTTGTTTTGAACAGGTCAATGCTTCCCCTTCTCTTACCTCCAGTACAGCCAATGATCGTATCCTTAAATATAATCTTATTAACGACACGCTTAACATTGCTGTCCCTAATGGTGAAATTCCAGACTGTAAATGGAACAAATCTCCACCAAAAGAAGTTCTTGGAAATTATGAAATTTTGTAAGTTTTAGCAGTGTCCTATGTAAATATGAACATTTTTTCTTTTTGAGAGAAGATTAATTTAGAATCATGTAGATGTGATGAAATTCATCCAACTGGGGAGAAAAAACAAAGTGCTACTTAATCACCATGTTAAGGCTGGAATAGCTGCTTTCAAGGCTGCGTCTAGACTGGCAAGATTTTGTGCAAAAACTTGCTAGTTGTCTACACTGGCTGCTTGAATTTGTGCAAGAGCACTGACTTTGTAATGTACAAAATCAATGCTTCTTGTGCAAATACTTTCACGCTCCCACTTGGGGAAAAAAGCCCTCTTGCGCAAGAATATTTGCGCAAGAGGGCCAGAGTAGACAAGGAAGAACTGTTTTGCGCAAAAAAGCCCCGATGGCTAAAATGGCGATCGGGACTTTCTTGCGCAAAATCGCGTCTAGACTGGCCACGGATGCTTTTGCGCAAAAGCAAATCTTTTACACAAAGGCACTTGCCGATCTAGACGCACATTTGCGGAAATACTTTTAACAGAAAAACTTTTCCGTTAAAAGTATTTCCGCAAAATCATGCCAGTCTAGACGCAGCCCAAGAGTTTGCATTCCTGACTTAGGCCTTAGTTGTGGGTAGTTGTCCCCTTCTGATGAGGTCCTACACTTCACCTGCAAAAAGATTGGTTTATTTAGGGTATATGATTAAATGAATTTCACTCTTAACTATATAGATAATATATATATATAGTATTTATTTTAGACTGAGTATAAGGCCTAAGTAACCATTAAATGCATTATATGTCCCAAGAAAATTTTTGAAAACTCTCTTAATTCATCGGAATGATGTTACCCAACTGTTGTGATTTAGTGATGGGATGTTAAAATAGTTAATTGCATGATGTTTTTAACCTGGTATAATGAATGTGTGATGGAGGAAGTTAGAAAAAGAGCTCCCCTGTTTTAATATATGTAATGGGTTAGCATGATACGGGCTTATGCATATAGGGGGATGCTGAACTTGTAATCAAAATTCCCTATTCCATTTGGAATCAGTTTCAAAAGATAAAGGTTTGAGACCCTCATCAGTAATTAATGGTTCTGAAGTAGGGTATGTTAGCTAACCCACTAATCCATGCCATCTGTTTTATATAGGGCCCCAATTCTGCAAACATTTATGTATGTTTGCAAGATTGAAGCATACATTTATAATTATTATTAGCTTTGTGATCACTATGAAGATCTGCATTTAATATTAGTTAAAAAGGACAGAGGGAATCCTGTTTGACTGAAAAATATAGTAGCTGTATCTTTCTATTTTGATTATTGATGTTTATGTATTTAGAGTCAAATTCTGCATTTGGATGCATCCAGAAACTGTTAAATCAATGGATAGTGAGATTATCTCAGGCCATATTAAGTTTGTACATTTAAAGGTGTACTCATGACTGTGGCAAACTTTACAAAATTTGTATCAGCAAGAATACATTAAATTGATGTGCTGTACTTCTGGTGTTGATAGATTTGTATTCAGATTGAATCTTGTATCTTGACTATTTTAATCAGACCACTTTTCTTGTTTATTTCAGTTAACTGGTGCCAGAGTCTAGTTTTTTCTGATGTTACAAATGTTTCTGTGTTTGATATGTTGGATTGTAACATTGCTGAATAATCAGCAAGTTAATATTTCTATTTACACACAAATCTATTAAAATGCTAAGAAAAGCAATGCAGAAATATAAGCCTCAAATAGTTTTGAAAGCTCTACAGTTATTTTTGCCTGCTACAGTAGAAATGTTGCTGATGGTGGTGCCTGTTTTTCATAAATAGCTACTGAAGTATAATAAGGTTAATTTTATTATAGTGTTATAGGGTCCAGTCCTGTGAACACTTAACCAAATGAATAACTTATGTGAGGAATTGCATCTTACAACAACACACTCATGTGGTGAGTGTTTATGGAATAGGATACTTTAAACATGTGAATGCTCAATATTAAACAAAAAAAGTTAGGAAAGGTCATTTTTATCATCTCTGTTATACAGTGATTAGGAGATTGAGACACTGAAAAATTATCTTATTTTAGGTATGATGAAGAGATGGCACAAAGCGATGGAGCTGATCGTGATTTGAGAAGCCGTTCTGGACAATCCATTGGACTAAAAGGGAATAGAGCAAGAGATTCAGTAAAGCATGTGCTCACCACATGGAAGTAGGGACAAAATCAAATGAATATCAAATCAGTAATACTTTACTGAAATTCAGAGCTATGCTCTTGGCTGGAAATTTTGAACTGAACACCGGGTTTTGGACCATTGTTTTTCCTTTGGACAGCTTCCTTCTCTTTACTAACTGCTGTGTAGTGTGTGGGAATTAATAACTCCAGAGAAAATACAGCAAAGAAATATTTGTCCTGATATGAGACATGTCTGTATGACACAGACTTTGTATGAGTGGTGCACCCAATCAGCTGTTCTGATAGTAAATTCACTAGTTTAAGTTTACTTCAAGAGTATTATGGTGCATGTGGCTATAGCAAATCTATTGTAATATAAAGAATTAATATTAATTGCATTAAACTTTTAAAAGCAGAAGTTCTCAGACTTGAGAATAGGATTCTTTTCAACAAATGGCTGGTTTGGCTTATAGGTCTCTTAAATAATCTTCTTAAGAAATCTGGTGTTAACTAAAAGTGTTCTTACTTACATGAGCCACTGGTTTGGTGTTCAAGATTTTGTTTTCCAGACTGTATAATGTAAGTAATCTGTCTCTACACTTATAATTTATTATACACTTTTAACTCCTTTGTAATTAATTAAATGTGTAACTTTTCTTGATCAGAGTGGCTGGGTTCTGTAAAACTTTTTCTTAAAAAAATGCACCTTAGAATGTCACTCCTTTGTGTTCAAGGATTACGTTTGAAAATAGAATCCAGAAAGGTCAGAGGTAATGGGCATTATCATTGTATAGCTTACACTGGCTTGATGACAGTTAAATTCCTTGATACAAGTGCAGTCCCTTCTGGAAACATATACAGTACAAACCTACTTGAGCTGTGATTGTAAACTAATGCATTGTTAATGATTTTTAGTTAGTGTTGAAATAAAAAAATATCAAAATGCTAAGATTGTCAGGTTCATTCAAACTGTAACTCCTCAGAAATTAAAATTACATAGACGGGAAGAACCACATAACCAGTTGCTGTGCTATCACATTTGACATTTATTTTTACATACAAGGTGATTTTGGACATACTTGACTAAATGTCTTCCTGCTTTGCCACTTGAATATAATGTAATAAATGTCAACCCCACTGCTCAGTAATACCTGTAAATCTTTGCTTGCATCTATACAGCTCTGCATTTGTCTGTATGTTACATATTTTATGTTCTGTAACAAAATTTCATTGCATCTACTAAGCCATTTCTAATCACTGTTGTCAGAAGGTACAATAGCTACAAATACCATAAAGCAAGAGAAATTTAAAAAGGAAATTATTATAGTTTAACTATATAAACTATATATACTATTATAGTAGAACATTATATAAACTAGTCAGTTTAGCTATTGCCTCTGATGTCATAATTCTAGCACTCAGTAAGAAGATACACACAGCTGCTTAATTTTGGGGGAGAAGGAAATCTCCAAAAGTACTTGTATTAACATAATAAATCTCACCTGGATCTCATGGAAGGCATAATACCTACATAAAATGAATGAGGGACAATTTTATATGAAATTCTTATCCATTGTTAATCTTGTATTCTGTTTTATGTATAAAAAGTCAAATGCAGATTTTGGTATGTCTTCCCACCAAATCTCTGATCCTTACAATTTATGATGTAGCACTGTAATAGGTCATCAGAAAGTTGTATCTTGATTTGAGATTAAGCAGTACTTTTTACATGATAAAGAAATTAAATTTGCCTGATTTTCTCCAGCTCCCTTCTGTATTGTTGTGTCCCTTACTCTGGTTCTTGTTTGTACATTTGAGCCTTGGCAGGATGAGAGCCATGGCTGGAATAGATCTATAGTCAGATATTGAATGCCGTATTAGTGATGACTTGTTTAAGGGCTGATGTTTCCTCCTCCACCTCCTAAGCACCTATTGCTAGGAAATGTGCAATAGTGTAGGCCTTGGGAAATATTATACTGCTGTCAACAGGAGTATTTTACAGCACGGCTGATTTCTTAATCTCTTAGAAGTCCTTTTTTTACTCTTTTACAGTACATTCAAACTCTGATTCTTGTCTCTCTTTCCTCTTTCTACATTGCCACTATCCACAGTGCATCTATGTGGTAGCATTTAGCTACATTATTTCTCATGGTTCTGTTACAGTAGCCTCTCTAATGGTATTACTGTTATGTAGCATGTATATTACCTCATTACCCTTTTTCTATATGAGTAGTTGAAGGGACTTTGTAAGGTGAAGATGATGTATGGTATAATCAGTTTGCAGCCAAGTTCAAACTCTTTGCCTTTATGTATAATGAAGTTTTATCCATAAGTCATTGAGACATTATTAAACCTGCTTCTAAGATAGAACTAATGTGGAAGAGCAGAGATAGGCGTGGGGTATGTTGTATTAATGTCAATGTAATAAAGGGGGTCTCGACTAGAGTGTAAAAAGATAGCATGATCCTGGCACTGTACACTGTTAATCATGATTTGAGGTTTAAAGTACAGGAACATTGACCATTCTATGGCAAGCAAGTTAGAAAATTATTACAAGTGTTTGGAAAATTTGAGTAGGATACACAAGAAGAAAATTCTTTTAAAAAGCACATGGAAATGGATTATGCAAAACATTTACAAATCTATCAAAGGCCCTTTTTCAGAGAGAATAACTACTAGTTTCTTATTCTGTCAAGCAATCCTTTTTAGTGGGGAAGAAAACAGTAAAGTCTTGTTGAATTCCATGGGGATTGCTCTGAGCGATTACTACTTTTCTTGTTTTTTTGACAAGACGGTCAAATAGGGAGAAGAAAGGATAGCAAAATGGTAAGGGAAATGCATACTGTTTTTGTTGATCTCAGATATAGATGGGTACTCTGGGCTGGAAGATCAGCTACTACAGCTGTTGCTCTTAAACCTAGTTTACTTTCCCAGTCTGGGATCCTACCTGGGTTGTCTAGTCAAGTACCTTTCTTACAGGTCCTTCTCAGGCTGGACAGAGCTGGGTGAACTCTCATCCCATCATACTGGTGCTTTGTAGTGCTGTTGTTCTCTGGATCAGGTGGAAAAACAGGGAAAGGGACCGGAGTAAAATAATGAGAGATAGGAAGGGAAGAAAGCAGGATTTTTCATGCATCAGGCTGGGGTACTTCCTGGTCCATTAAAGATAACAGGGTGGTGTTACTTATGGGCAGGTCTGGATGTCCTGATGACTGAGGGTCACCAATGAAGGACACAATCTCTTGAATGGGACATTCCTAGGAGTCAACTCTACTTGCCGTTTTAATTCTCGAAGTCCACCCAAAAGGTTGTATCCAGTTAGGCCTAATGTCCAACACATTAATTTCTAAAGCTTCAGGGGTAGCTGAGTTAGTCTGTAACAGGAAAAACTTAAAAAACAAGAAATAGTCTAGTAGCACCTTAAAGACTAACAAAACATGTAGATGGTACCATGAGCTTTTGAGGGCACAACCCATTTTGTCAGATGACAGGAGTGTGAGAAGTCCAGATTCAAGAATAAATAACGGGAGGAGAGGGGGAAGGGGGAAAAAAGGAGGGGAGGAAGAAAAAACAGAGACAGTGAGTAGATAAGCTTGAGAGGGTTAGTCGAGTTAGTCAGTAACAGGAAAAACTTAAAAAACAACAAATAGTCTAGTGGCACCTTAAAGACTAAATAGTTATGAAAGGCTGATAAGAACCATTAGCACCTCCATTGTTTGGTTGGTAGGTTAAGTCATAGGATGTGGAAGGTAGTGTACGAGCCAGCAGATGTCTTTCTGTATAACATTTGCATAAGAATTAAATTTGTAAATGAAGTTAAGTTCCAATCCTTCTCTGTGTATTTGGCTTGTGGAATTTGCCTGAAACAAATGGTGACTTGGAGATCCATTAATGAATATCCTGGTAGATTAAAGTGTTCTTCAGCAGGTTTTTGTTTATTGCCTTTTTGGCTATCTGATGTATGTCCATTAATTCTTTGCTGTAGAGACTGTCCAGTTTGGCCAATATACATGGCAGTGGGGCACTGTTGGCATTTGATGGCATTAGAGTAGTTGATGTGCAGTTAAATGAGCCTCTGATTTGGTGGCTGTGGTTGGGTCCAGTGATGAGATTGCTGGGTATAGATGTGTGAGCAGAGTTGGCTCCGGGGCTGATTGCACAGGTGGGTCCCTGGATGATTACAATGGAGATTATTGGAAAGAATTTGTTTGAGGTTAGGGGGTTGTCTGTAAGCAAGGATTGGACTTTTCCCCAAGGCCTCTGAGAGCGAGGGGTCATTTTCCAGGATAGATTGTAGATTGATAATGCGATGGAGGGGTTTAAGTTGTGGATTGTAGGTGATGACAAGTGGAATTCTGTTGTTTTCTGTTTGGGGTCTGTCTTGAAGTAGTTCATGTCTTGGTACTTTTTTTGGCTCTGTCGATCTGTTTTTTCACTTCTCCAGGTGGGTATTACAATTTTATGAATGCTCTATATAGATCCTGTAGGTGCTTGTCTCTGTCTGTGGGATTGGAGCAAATCCAGTTGTATTTTAGGGCTTGGCTGTATGCAGTAGATTGAGAAATGTGTCTGGGATGGAAGCTAGAGGCATGAAGGTAAGTGTAGCCGTCAGTAGGTTTCCGGAATAGGATGGTGGAAATTTGTCCATTGTTTAATTGTACTGTAGTATCAAGGAAGTGGATTTCTTGTGTGGACTGATCCAGGCTGAGGTTGATGGTGGGGTGGAAGTTGTTGAAATCCCTGTGAAATTCTTCAAGGGTCTCTTTCCTGTGGGTCCATATGATGATGTTATCGATGTAGCATAAATAGCCTAATGGTGCTAGAGGATGAGAGCTGAGAGAACATTGTTCAAGGTCAGCCATAAAGACGTTGGCATGTTGTGATGCCATGCAGATGCCCATGGCTGTGCCGCTGACTTGAAGATACAAATTGTCTCCAAATTGGAAGTAGTTGTGGGTAAGGACAAAGTCACAGAGCTCTGTAAACAGGTGTGCAGTGCTGTCATTGGGGATGGTGTTCCTGATTGATTAATTTCTGATTCCATTCTCTCTTTGTCTGTCATGATCAGAGCTCGCCAAGCAATGGCGAGCCCTGCTCGCCAGCCATGTGGTTCTGTGCTTTGCGCATGCACAGATCGCTCTGCGCCGACTCTTCCGGGTTGTAATCTGCTTGCCATGGGCGAGTAGATTACATTATTTGTTGAGCCCTGTTTATGATCTTACGCAGGCATGCGTGGTGTCAATAGACAGCTTCTTTTTTGACTAATTCAGTCTTGGTTTTCTAACTTTTGCTGACTGAGAATGACTGTTACATAACAAAGGTGCAGTCCCCACTGTGCACAAGAGTTAGGTGTTGTGTATTCCCAGTAAGATGGCTACTGTTGACGTGACTGATGCACTGCGGGTAACATTCCCACAATTCCTGACACCCCTTTGCAGTCTGGATTAGACCCCCAATGCCTGATGGGACAAAAACAGTGCAGCAAGTGGTTCTGGATATATGTTGTCAGTGTCCTATAATGTGCTCATCTCCTCCCCCTCTCTCCCTAGGTGTTGTGTATTCCCAGTAAGATGGCTACTGTTGACGTGACTGATGCACTGCGGGTAACATTCCCACAATTCCTGACACCCCTTTGCAGTCTGGATTAGACCCCCAATGCCTGATGGGACAAAAACAGTGCAGCAAGTGGTTCTGGATATATGTTGTCAGTGTCCTATAATGTGCTCATCTCCTCCCCCTCTCTCCCTGCTCCTCCCCCC